AGGTGAGCGCTCTACCACTTGAGCTACAGCACCACTTCCGGTTTTCTGGTGGCTTATTGGAGATAGGAGTCTCAAGGTCTTTCCTGCCCGGGCTGGCTTTGAACCTCGATCCTCAGATCTCAGCCTCCTGAGTAGCTAGGATTACAGGCGTGAGCCACCAGCGCCCTGGCTTGCAAGCCTCTCTTATCTCCAAGAAACTCAGAAAAAGCCTTGAGCAGAAAGAAGTTCCAGGCCCAGAGTTCAAATCCCCAGAGACAAAAAAAAAAAAGATTTAACTAGCAGTGACTACCATATATCAAAAGAAAAAAGCCAAATAAGTCTACTTATAGACTGGACCAAAAAAAGTAAATAAACATAGTTGCTAAATCATTTAACTTATCACACTATTTATAGAAAAGAATGAGCATGGGGCTGAATTGAGATTTTTTTTTTTTTTTTGTTGATCATGGGGCTTGAACTCTGGGCTTGGGTGCTGTCCCTGTGCTCTTCAGCTTAAGGCGAGCGCTCTACCACTTCAGCTACAGCGCCACTTCCAATTTTCTAGTGGTTTATTGGAGATAGGAGTCTCACAGTCTTTTCTGCCTGGGCTGGCTTTGAACCAGATCTTCAAATCTCACCCTCCTGAGTACCTAGGATTACAGGCGTGAGCCACCAGTGCCAGGCCTGAGATTTCTTTTACTGAAATTGGTGTCTTTACTTTCAATTCCTGGGTCATTAGTGAATAAATGTTCTATTACTGGAAAGACTGAGCGACCACACTGAAATACAAATGAGTTTCTAAGAGTGAGAATTCAGTACTGGCTCATACCAAACTCTGGGTACTTATGTTCTGTATTATAGAAACAGCAATTCGTTTCTAGCAGACCAAAACTTGCAAATGCTCTAAGAAGTAGATTCAGTATCAGACAGAGCCTATGAAGAAGTCACATTGGGAATGTCATTCCATCCTCATCTCTGGTTCTAAACATTAAGGGAACTCTGGTTGTTCATAGACAGCTGGCAGCCAATTACTAGCCAGGAAGTTATCTGAGCTTGCAGAGAAGACAGAATGTCTTTGAACAAGGATTCTGTGAGTCTGGGCTATATGACCTTAAAGCATCAATGCAGACGACCATGGGCATAGCTCAAGTGGTAGGTATTTGCTCAGAAAGTGTGAAGCCCCAAGTTTCATTCCCAATACCACCACCAAAACAAAAAAAGTCCAGAAAATGTTTGACGCATGCATGATATCAGGGATAAATGACACGTCTACAAGGTGGCAGTCTTCATTCTGACAGATGCCACAATTAAATAACATGCTACAAAGCATAAAAATGTCACCTTCCGGGGCTGGGAAGGTGGCTCAGTGGTAGAGCGCTTGCCTTGCATGCCTGAGGCCCTGGGTTCGATTCCTCAGTACCACATAAGCAAAAAGAAAAAAGCC